AAAAAAAAAAAAAAAAAAAAAAAGTGAAAAACCAGATCCAGCCAGAGGAGAGCTTCCTAATAACCCAGCCGGCAGGGAGAGAAAGTCTCCTGTTGCTCCCCCACCTTCTCTCCAAGGCAGTCGTTGCTCCACTGGGAGGGAGCAACCTTATTCCTGCCCCTGGCTTCTCCCACCCCTCGCAGATCTGTTTTGGTTTACCAAAATTCACCAGGGTTAAGAGGCCCAGCCTTTAGGCTGATGGACACCTGTCCTCAGACAGGTGCTGCCCTTCCTGCCCCTTCCCTGTCTCCTTCTGAACAGCAGGCAGATCAGGGAGCACACTGGCAGGGCGGTCAGTTAAACCAAGTAAGGAATGAACAGCAGATACCATTTCTGTGGGAAGAGCCCACACGCCACTGGCACCATAAAGATGAGGCTGCAAGAAAGGAGAAACCAAAGCATCAGGGGACATCTCCCCACAGGCCCGCCCATCCCCTATCCCGAAGGGAAGGGAGCAATGCCCAGGCACCTGGCCTGCCTTCCCAGCTGGCCCCATATTCTTTCCCTCCAACCCTTCTCCTGTTCCCGCAGTGCGAGGATACTCATTCTGGCAGGGGGATGAAACCAGTACCCTCCCAACCCCCATCACTCATTCCCACCCTTTACTGCATTGTTCAGGCAGAGGAAGAAGACAATGAAGTAAACAAGGACTGTGAGCGGTGGGCCAAAGGAGCCCAGGCACTGCTGGCATGGAGGGGGAGGAGCGACAAGGAGGGGAGGAGCCGCATGAAGGGAGAGGAGGGACATGGAGGGAGAGGAGGGACATGGAGGGGGAGGAGCAACATGGAGAGAGAGGAGCAACTTGGAGGAACAGCATGGAGAGTGAGGAGTGACTTGGAGAAGGAGGAATGACTTGGAGGGTGAGGAGTGACTTGGAGGGGGAGGAGCAACTTGGAGGGAAGGAATTACTTGGAGTGGGAAGAACGACTTGGACTGGATGGGGTGAAGCAACATGGAGAGGGAGGAAGGACATGGAGGGGAGGAGCGATGAGGAGCGAGAGGAGCAACTTGGAGGGGGAAGATTGACTTGTAGTGGGAGGAGCGACCAGGAGGGGGAGGGGCACTATGGAGGGGAAGAAGTGAGTCCGTGGATTCTGAGACCTGCTTCTTTATTAGTTGAACACCTAGGCTGTCAGAGCACAGTGAAAGGCAGTTTCTCCAGCTTCACTGAGCATATAACTTCAGGGGCTTATTAAAATGCAGGTCCCAACTGAGGGGGTCTGGGGAAGGGCTGCAGAGTCTTTACTTTTAACAAGTTATCAGAGGATGCCAATGATGCTGGCGTGGACCAGGGTTTGGGAGGCAAGGTCTTACAGGATGCAGGACTCGGACAGACCTGGGTTGGTATCCCAGTTTTACCACTTACTAGCTGTGCCATCTTGGGCAAGTTACCTCAGAGGCACAGAGGGAGGACAACCTACTTTTTGGGGCTACTGCAGCCCACTTTGCAGTGCCTACTTTGCAGGGCTACTGTGAGGATTCAATGAGATATGTATGTAAAGCACCCAGCCCATGGTCACTACTCAATTAGCAGAAGTTGGCATAGCATAATGTTAGACTGTTGATCAAATCTCAGCTCCAGCAGTTACCAGCTATATACCCTTGGGCAAGTTTCTTACTCTAAGTCTCAGTTTCTTGATTTGTAAAAGGAGATGATAATAATACGTAAATTTCTAAGGTTGGGAAAATTAAGTGAAATTATAGGTATGAAGCATTGGGTTCAGTGGGGACACAGAGAAAATATGCAGTCAACGTTAGCTGTTAGTATTGCTGTCATTAGTCCCATGGCCCTGAAATGCATGGTGAATGCTAGGACTTCTCCAGTTAATGGCAGATACCCAAGAACATTGACGTGACTGGTAGCATTTCCCTGCTGTGTGAGTCTGGGACACGTGACAGTCCCAGCCAAAGCTATGTCTCCTCATTCTTATCTCTTCTGTAAAATTGCTCCAGACAGCCAGGCACAGTGGCTCATGCCTATAATCCCAGTACTTTGGGAGGCCAAGGTAGGTGGATCACTTGAGGTCAGGAGTTTGAGACCAGCCTGGCCACCATGATGAAATACAAAAATTCGCAAGGCGTGGTGGTGCATGCCTGTAATCCCAGCTACTCAGGAGGCTGAGGCAGGAGAATTGCTCGAACCTGGGACGTGGAGGTTGCAGCAAGCTAAGACTGTGCCATTGCACTCCAGCCTGGGAGACAGAGTGAGACTCTATCTCAGAAAAAACACAAAAAACAAAAAAAACCTGCTCCAGACTTAAGGTCAAAGGAGAGACCCTCGGATGGGAGGGCACCTCAGCACTGGACTTCCTACATGGACATGTGCGTAAAGTCTAGCCAGCCTGAAGCCCTCACAAAAGATGGGGCAAGAGCTTTCCAGATGGACCATAGGTATTCTGAGCTTGACCACTTTTAAAGTCAGGTAAAGGAGTACACGTTCTCCAACACAGGCTAGACAAGATGACACATCTCGAGTGCTCCAGCCACACAGAACCCAAACCATCAAAACATGATACTTACAAGTACCCACACAGCATGACCTGCAATGGGGCGTGCAGGACCTTGACTTTCTGTATAAAAACAGATAAAAGACAGATCCACATGGTACTTCTATGCCATAAGGTGAACCCCATCCCTGCTCTGCCATGGATCAGCCAGGTAGAAAAACCCACAGGCAAGGACCCCCTGGCCCTCAAAGAAGGCCTTGTTCTCTGCAGACCAGGTCAGGAAACTGGCCATGATGTCTAAACAAGAGGCCAGTGGAGACTGGTGTGGGCTTGAGTGAGATGTCAGGCATCCCCAGGGACAGATGTGGCTGGAGGCACTCTGGGCAGGGAAAATGCCAAGGCAAACCCTACATACCTGCATGAAGTGCAGTTTCTCAAGCCTTTCCATGATGACTGGCAGCAAGACTGGAAGAGACCAGGGGAGAAGCTGAGGGGAGGGCTGGGAGGCTTTCCCTAGGACTTCCTCTTAAGTCAGACTAGGAACCAAGTGATTCCCTCTCCTTCAACAGAAGCTCCAGAAAATACTTAACCATGAGGCAGAACAGAAGAGTAAGTAGGCATGGCCACCCCCAACCTCTCTCCCCAAAGCCCCGGCACAACAGTGCTTCCCAAGCTTCTCAATCTGCACGCTTGCGATAACAGGAGAATATGTGCTGCTAGGTCCAAAGCCTCCTTGTCAAAACTCAGACATGCATTTGTAAGCTCATGCAAACAAATTTTGCAATACGCCCCCTGCTGGAAGCAAACCAAAGCAGGGAATTTATTTTCTCTAACACTCTCCCTAGCACCCCACACTGTCTACACATTAAACACAAATGCTTGACAAGTATTAATAAAATGAAAATAACTTTCTACCCCAAACCTTGGATGAACTGATGTTCTAGGAATTAGTATGGTTCTTCTAGGCTTGCAGCAATCAAGCAAAGCAGTTTGAGAAGCACAGCTGTAGAGGGTGGGCCCTACCTCCCACCCAAAACCTGAGTGTGGCTGAGACCTCCACCCTGTGTCACAGGGTTCCCCAGGATGGAAGGGCTTCCCCATCTTACTCATCCCAGGAGCTGACATGGTGATCCGAGAAATAACTACTTGGGTGATGCCTATGGCCGCAGCTCTCTGAGGGCAGAAAATAGTAAGTTGTCAGAAATGATGTATCCAGTGTACATGGGTTGCACCAGGGGGCTGGGTCAGCATCATGGCCAAGTCTGAGATGGTAAAGGGGAAGAGAAGGACCCTCCAAGTGCTAAGTGACCTCACTTCATCCCCTCCCCGCTAGCTAGGTTTTTATGGACCAGAAATGATGGAGAAAGGACAGAAGGGGCCTGTCCTGAACAGAGAAACATGGGGAAAATTTGACAGGGAGTGAGGATGAAGTCAGAGAAGCCTTCTCAATTCTATAATGGTGCCCACTGTGACCACTAAGGAGGGGACAGGGTATGAAAGGGAATTTCCTCCTCCCACCCCAAAGGGAGGCCTCTACTCACCCGGGAATAACCAATCTCATTTTCATTCCTGTCCTTCACGCAGATTCCCTGGATGAGCTCCCTAAACACAGACAGGAGTTACTGGACTTCGGAAAGGGGTGATGGAAGCCTGCCAGCCACGTGACATGCCGGGGACCAAGGCCAGGCCGCTTAAGCTCCAGGAAGCCACCTCCTGTAGCCTGGGCCTTTGACCTTCCTTCTGCACTCCAATGAGCAGTATCTTAGGAGCGATCTAGGGCAGTGGCTGAGAGCGCTGGCCCTGGGCCCGGACTGTCTGGGTTGAGTCCTGAAACTGCAGCGTATGTGTGTGACCTTGAGCAGTCTTTAACCCTCCCAAAGCCTCAGTTTTGCTTATCTGCAAAATGGGGATCATCCTGGCGCCACTTTACAGGACCTGGTAAGGATTACGCTAGCTATTCTTTTTTTTTTTTTTTTTGAGACAATCGTGCTCTGTCACCCAGGCTGGAGTGCAGTGGCGTGATATTGGCTCACTGCAACCTCCACCTCCTGGGTTCAAGTGATTCTCCTGCCTCAACCTCCCCAGTAGCTAGGATTACAGGCGTGCACCACCATGCCCGGCTAATTTTTTTTTTTTTTTTTTTGTGATGGAGTCTCACTCTGTTGCCCAGGCTGGAGTGCAGTGGCACAATCTCAGCTCACTGCAAGCTCTGCCTCCCGGTTCACACACCACTCTCCTGCCTCAGCCTCCCGAGTAGCTGGGACTACAGGCACCCGCCACCACACCCGGCTAATTTTTTGTTTTTTTAGTAGAGACGGGATTTCACTGTGTTAGCCAGAATGGTCTTGATCTCCTGACCTCGTGATCCGCCCACTCCGGCCTCCCAAAGTGCTGGGATTACAGGCGAGAGCCACCGTGCCCGGCCCTAATTTTTGTATTTTTAGTAGAGATGGGGTTTTGCCATGTTGGCCAGGTTGGTCTCAAACTCCTGGCCTCAGGTGATCCTCCCACCTCAGCCTCCCAAAGTGCTGGGATTATAGGCATGAGCCACCGCACCCAGCTCACCCCAGCTATTCTTCTCAGGCCAGTTCTTGACAGCACTCAACCCAAACCCCGGTAGGTGGCAGGGACTCATTCTCCTGTTAGGAAAGGTTCACTGGATGGGGAAGGAAAGATAAGAAGAGCAGCATGTGTGCACAACTATTCTGGTAGCGCTCCTTCTACAAAGGCTAGTGTGAACATTTTCCATTTGTTGGTAGTCCCAAGAAAATGTGGCTTGTAGATATTGATAATGATGACAATGGTAGAAATAACAGTGAACGCTTACATAGCATCTGTTATGTTCCAGATGCTATTTTGAGTGCTTTATATAATTACATCATTAAAACCTCATAACAGAGATTTCTCTAGTCAAGAAATAAGAACTGTGAGACTTAGTAAGTTTCTCCCTTACCTTTTCTCCTGAAAAGTTTTGAGTTGGGTGCCTGGAAAATTTCTGTCTACTCCTCTGGCTTCTTTCAAAGCTTGTGGGTTCTGTGCTATCTTTAGACACCTCAGCCTGATACTTTTCATTCTGTATGCCATCCCCAGGGCTTGGGAAGCAGGAGGAGTTCACAATTTTAACACAGGTCCAAAAGGACATAATCCAGTGTAAAACTCCACAGGTCCACCCTGTCTTTCCCATCCCACATCACCCAGGAGAGGACTCCCACGGGACTCAAACACACAGCCTAACCCGGTCACCCACCACTCACGGGGCCATCACCAGGGGAGCAGCCAATCCCAGGGCCCTTCAGAGGCTCAGCCCAGCAGCCCTCCCCATGCCCACCGCAGTCCCCAGAAGCCACCCACTGCTTTGGTTTCTTGCCCCTTTTCTGCTAATCTTGTGGTTTGTAGGGAGACAAGGGGGCCTATACTCACTGCTGTCGCATCATGGGGATATTGACACAGTTAGCCGCAGCCACAGCGGCAAAGGGCACCCAGCGGCCCACCAAGGGCGGCGCTTTCTGTTGGAGGAAGGGAATAGTAGTTGTTGAGATGCGCTGGAAGATGGGAGGGGAGGGGGCTGAACGACTAGAATACAAAAAAGAAAATTAGGCCTTGCTACTGCCACACATCCAGACACCCACTCTGGGAACCCCAAACTCCCTCAAAGGCTCAAGAAGAACCAACCTGGGGACAGCCCTGGTGTATTTCTCATCACATGGCTAGCAGGGCTCTGGCCATTCCCAGCTCACCCAGCCTGGGGAACTGTCCCTGGGGGAAGGCTGTTTTCCCTAGGACTCTGCTGCCCCCGCGTGGCCACCATGCTGCAGCAGCCCCAGACCATACCTTTGTCAACATGTTCATGCCCACAGCCGTGGCCACAGCAGTGGTTGTGGCTGTGAAGTAGGAAAGGGTCATCTGCCTGGGGGAGGAGAGAGATGCTTGGGAGTGGGGCGCCTGCCAGCTGAGGGCCAAACCACGGGCTTGAGGGAGAAAGTCGGCTGGTGAGGCTTCATGTCTGAAAACCGCACAGGATCTGTCCCTAGCCTTATCTGTGACCCTCTCCCCCTCGCTCACAGAGCCCCAGCCCCCTTGGCCTTCTTTCAGTACTGTGAACACACCAAGTTCCTTCCTGCCTCAGAGCCTCTGCATATGGCTGCTCCCTATGCGGCGAGGGGCTCCCTGGGCTCTTGGGTCGTTTAACCCTCAACCTTCAGGACACAGTTAAAATGTCGTCTCCACAGAAGGGATTGCTCTAAGTGGCCTAACTACACAGACACAGCTCTGCTGTTCTCTGCCTTGCAACCCTGGTTTTCTGGGTGTTTTTTGTTTGTTTGTTTGTTTGTTTGTTTTGAGACTGATCTTAGGCAATCCACCTGCCTCGGCCTCCCAAAGTGCTGGGATTACAGGTGTGAACCACCGTGCCTGGCCCAACCACACATCTTAACAATGTATCCCAGAATGTAGAACCATGCACATCCCCAGCACATAATACACACTCAAGAAGAAATATTTAGAGAATGAATGAATAAACACATTTGGAATTGGTCTAGGAAGAAGATCCACTCCTACTCAGCTTGAGAAAATACTTCCAAACCCTGGGAAACGGTAACTTGGTCACCTGCTCAGTGCAGGCGCTGCCCAGGAAGGACTGCCAGCCCAGAACTCTTTAGAAAAGCTGTTTGTGGGAGGCACGAGGACAGCCTGGGGCTCAGGTCTCCTACCTGACTGATATGGGGGAAGCCGCATTCCTGTTGGTGTAGTTGACTAAGGCATTGAAGGACTGGTTCACCCACTGCCAGAAGATCACCGCCGGCATTGTCCTATCAGTGAGAAAGGCCAGGAGAGGCAGAGAGAAGTCAGATGGCAGGGAGTCCTGAGGGCACGCCAGTCAAAGCACGTGATCTGCAGGTCCCCACACTGTTCTCATATTAGGTTTTTATTTTTTATTTATTTAGTGTTTTTTTTTTTTTTTGAGACGTAGTCTCGCTCTGTCGCCCAGGCTGGAGTGCAGTGGCCGGATCTCAGCTCACTGCAAGCCTCCTGGGTTTACGCCATTCTCCTGCCTCAGCCTCCCGAGTAGCTGGGACTACAGGCACCCGCCACCTCGCCCAGCTAGTTTTTTGTATTTTTTTAGTACAGACGGGGTTTCACCATGTTAGCCAGGATGGTCTCGATCTCCTCACCTCGTGATCCGCCCATCTCGGCCTCCCAAAGTGCTGGGATTACAGGCTTGAGCCACCGTGCCCGGCCTATTTTTTATTTTTTTGAGACGGAGTCTCGCTCTGTTACCCAGGCTGGAGTGCAGTGGTGCGATCTCAGCTCACTGTAACCTCTGCCTCCCAGGTTCAAGCAATTCTCCTGTCTCAGCCTCCCAAGTAGCTGGAACTACAGGCACATACCACCACGCCTGGCTAATTTTTGTATTTTTAGTGGAGATGGGGTTTCACCATATTGGCCAGGCTGGTCTCGAACTCTTGACCTCAGGTGATCCACCCACCTTGGCTTCCCAAAGGGCTGAGATTACACGCATGAGCCATCATGCCTTGCTTGTTCCCATATTGTTTTATGCACCTGGGTTTTTGTGCAGGCTGACCCCTCTGCCTCAAATATCTCCCCCTCCTCTTTCCATACGTGGCCGAACCCTGCTCTGTTGAGAGAGATCACTTCCTCCTTGGAACCTTCCCAACCCTTCCCTGCCCCTCCTGAGACAGAGTAAGTCATTCCATGCTCCTGCTTCCACAACCCCATGTTCTTCCCCCAACCTACCACTTACCAAGCTGTACTGTAACTGTTTACTTCTTGGTGTCCTCAACAAAACTGGGAGCTCCTTGATGGGGGGGTTACTGAAGCCTTTACATTCCCAACACCTGGCCCAAAGCCCAGCTCAATAGCTGAACCAATCAATGCATGGGGTATGGGACGCAGGGGAGGAAGGAAGAGGTGGGAAGAAGAGTCGCACATCCAGCAGCTACAGAGGCGGTCTATTCTCTCCTCAGCCAAGCCAAGAAAGGGACTACCTATTGTTTTGTTTGGTTGTTACATAATTAAAATCAATGTGGAAAAAGTACTTTTTAAAGAGGGAATTGGGGTAACTTATTTGTTGAGGGTTCTACATAGGACTGCCTCAGTTAAAATCCAGGCACCCGTATTTACTGCCTGTTTAAACTTGGACAAGTTCTTCAGCCTCTGTAGAACTCTAGTTCTTCATCTATAAAATGGAAACAATAGTACCTATAGTGTAGGGTTGTTGAGAGGGTTAAATGAAGCAATACGTGCAAAGAATGTAGCATAGTGCCTGGTATCTGGTAAGTGACCAATCAAGAGAACTATTATTATTATCACAGTATGGCTCCCTGACCAGCAGATCCAGGCAGCTGTACCTCCCACGGCCCTGCCCCCAAGTCCCACCTGTAGAACTGGAGCATGAAGCCCGTGATGATCATGCCGCCAGGGAGCTGGAAAGACATGCGCCCGATGACATTCATCTTCTCCCCAGTGTCGGGGTGGAAGGCCGAGTCATATAGCTTCTTGGCATACAGCAGCTGCTCCACTTGGGTGCCTTGGGGCACAACCCCCATCCTGCCACCCAAGGATAGCAGGCAGTCACCATCCTGCCTGATCAACATCTCCCAGTCCTCCCTACTCTCGCTTCTCCCAGCCCCCAGCCCTAAGAGTTCTGTCTATTCCTTCATCTTCAGTTTCCACCTCCACCCAAGAGGACCCCATCAATGTTACCCTACTACTTCCAGCCCTTTCCCCAACCACTCACCTGCTCTTCTCCACCATCATCTTGGCCCAGTCCAACTCCTGCTCAGATACGAAGACAGTGCGGGGGTCCGTGATGTTTAGGAAGTGCTTCACTCTCCCCAGGAAGGTGCGCTGGTCCCAACGGGGGGCATCGATGTTAAAGCCAGTCAGGTCAGCCTCCATCTTGTTCACACATAAAACTGTGGACCTAAGGGACAGAGGAAGAAGAGGACTGTCCCCTAAATCAAAGCCCACCGCAGAGGACCTGAGCACCTCCCACTGTTGCAGATGGTCTGCTCTCGCCAGCTACTGGGCATCGTCTGACTCGGCTTGGGAGGGCCCCAGTGAATGGTCATCAGATTGAGCAACTGGGCACCAACACGTGTTTCCTGAGGGCCTGCTGGTGGTCAGCTCTGTGCTTAACCATACTGCAGGAGGGACTGCAAAAGGGGACAATACAGTGCCTGTGCTTGGGGAGCTCTGGGAACAAAAGCCCACCCATTAAACAGTATAATACCCCGGGGTGCTTCTGGCAGGGAGATGGGAAAAGTAGCCATTTTGAAAAACAGCCAGCTCGGTGCGGTGGCTCAGGCCTGTAATCCCAGTACTTTGGGAGGCCGAGGTGAGGGGATCATGAGGACAGGAGTTTGAGACCAGCCTGGCCAACATGGTGAAACCTGATCTCTACTAAAAATACAAAAATGAGCCGGGTGCAGTGCCAGGCGCCTGTAATCCCCGCTACTCAGGAGGCTGAGGCAGGAGAATTGCTTGAACCCAGGAGATGGAGGTTATAGTGAGCTGAGATCATGCCACTGCACTCCAGCCTGAGCCTGGGTGACAGAGCAAGACTCCTTCTCGGGCGGGAAAAGCAAAACAAAACAAAACAAAACAAAAACTCCAAAGCCGTTTGTTTTTCTTTTTTTTTTTAATTTAATTTTACTTTTTTTTGGCGACAGGACCTCATTCTGTCACCCAGGCTGGAGTGCAGTGGTATGATCATGGTTCAATGCAACTATTACCTCCCAGGTTCAGGGATCCTCCTGCCTCAGCCTCCTGAGTAACTGGGACTACAGGCACACACCACCACGCCTGGCTAATTTTTATATTTTTTGTAGAGATGGCACCCCACTATGTTGCCCAGACTGGTTTCAAACTCCTAGGTTCAAGCAATCCTTCTGCCTCAGCCTCTCAAAGTGCTGGGATTACAGGTGTAAGCTGCCGCATCTGGCCTCTTTTATTATTTAGAGACAGAGTCTCATTATTCTATCCAGGCTGGAGTGAATGGCAATTGACAGGCATGATTATAGCTCACTGCAGCCTCGAACTCCTGGGCTCAAGCAATCCTCCAACCTCAGCTTCCCAAGTAGCTGGGACTACAGGCATGCACTATCATGCCCAGCCCTTTCATTCTTCTTAACAAAGTCTACCCTTGAGGGAAACTATTTTACCAGAGCCTAACCATCTTGGGTTTTACCAGAACTTAACTGACTCAGGGAAAGAGAACTCCAGCCACCTCTTGCCTTCCTGCCTCACCTAAAGAGGACAAGGGGAGACTGAGAAGCTCTTTTGAAGGTTCAGGAAACAGACTCACCAGAAGACTGAGACCTCATCACAGGACTGTAGATCCCTCCACTCCCTCACGTCACCGCTGCACCAGCAGGGCTCCTGTATCATTACAAGGATGATAACAAAAAGAGTAACACGTCTTAGGCCCTATTTAAGAAGTCTCTAGAGACCCATAGACAGTAGGGGAGACAAGAACAAGGACACCAGAAGAAAATTTAGCCTTTTATACCTATAGCTACAGCAAACAGTAAACATAACCTAGATAAACAAAACCTCACCCCTCAGTTCCTCTCACAGGGTACATCATGTCCAGCTTTCAGTGAAAAATTACAAGGCATACTAAAAAGAAAAAAAAAAAAAACAGTTTGAAGAAACAGGCCAAGCATCAGAACCAGATTTAGATATGAGATTTTAGACTTATCAGACCAGGAATTTAAAATAACTATGGTTAAAATAAATAAATAAATAATAAATAAAATTATTAATTATTTAAATAAAACTATGGTTAATATTCTAAGGACTCTGAAGGGAAAAGTGGACAACAGACAAATAATGTAAGCAGTGATGGAAACAAGAAAGAATCAAAAGGAAATGCTGGAAATCAAAAATACTGTAATAAATATGAAGAAAGTCTTAGATAGACTCATCGGTAGACTGGACATGGCCAGGAAAAGAATCAGTGAGCTTGAACATGTGTCAACAGAAATTGTCGAAATGCTAAAGGCCCATCCATGGCAGATTGGATAAAGAAAATGTGGTATATGTACACCATGGAATACTATGCAGCCACAAAAAAGAACGAGATCACGTCCTTTGCAGGGACATGAACATGGAGGCCATTATCCTCAGCAAACTAATGCAGGAGCAGAAAACCAAATATCACATGTTCTCATAAGTAGGAGCTAAATGATGAGAACACATGGACACAAAAAGGGGAGCAACAGACCCCACTGGGGTTCACTTGAGGGTGGAGGGTGGGAGGAGGGAGAGGATCAGAATAAATAACTAATGGGTACTAAACTTAGTACCTGGGTGATGAAATAATCTGTACAACCCCAGTGACACAAGTTAACCTATGTAACAAACCTACACATGTACCCCTGAATCTAAAGTAAATGTTAAAAAAAAAAAAAAAAAAAAAAAAAAAAACAAATAATACTAATGCAATTACACAATAGAAGGGCTTGGACTCAGATCCTCCACACATGAATTCTGTCTCTCATTGAGAAACACTGAGTCCGTGGTGAGGGATGGTGTGGGAATGTTCGTCTTCATAGATCATTGGAATTACTATTTGGGGGTGCATACCATCTGATCCTGTTGGTCGTTACCCATTTCCACCTATCTCCATATCTTACAGAAGAACCATCTCAAGTACTAACTGCTTTATATCCCTTAAAACATTTCTAAGGCCGGGCGCGGTGGCTCAAGCCTGTAATCCCAGCACTTTGGGAGGCCGAGACGGGCGAATCACGAGGTCAGGAGATCGAGACCATCCTGGCTAACACGGTGAAACCCCGTCTCTACTAAAAATACAAAAAACTAGCCGGGCGAGGTGGCGGG